TACTAGCTCTGAAAGTATTAAATTTCTCTTCCCTTGCCCCTGGTCTTTGCATGATCTGTTTCCTCGAAAAAACTAGAAGCCCTTACCAGTGCTTCCTGAGACACACAGGTCCCAGAGACAGCACTGAGTGACATAAAACACTTCTCCAGAGTAACACAATTGTTGCTCCTCAAACAGTTTTAAACAGAAGTTGTCTTTGAAAATGTAATCAAGAATTTTCCCCTGGAAAAATGAAGAGAACTTGAGTTTTTAAAAATATTTAGAAATAAAAACATTTCAGAAAAAAAAATGTACACTATTGTGACTACAACAAGGTAAATACTGGTCTGAAAAGCAGACATACTATAAGCAAAAAAAACCTAGAATGAAAACAATAAAGTAGAAAAAAGTTCCCTGAAACCTGGAAAAGTTTAGGACATAGGTACCAGATCTCCTGTGTACTACCTTTAAAACAAACATATTGCCCAGAGAAACGTTCTTGTTTCTCCCTGTAAATACTCACATGTGGGATTTAGTTTAGTGACTTAATATGTCAGTGACACAGATGGCTTCCTTAAAAGTATGAAATAATTAAACACCTAACGAAGAAATTAAGTTGAAGAAAATGAAATTTTCACTGAAAATTCACAGATTATTTTCCTTAAAGTAAAGGTCTAAATGGAGAAGAAGTTTAGTGGAGTTGCATCATCCTAGGGGCACTGGATATTAAAGTTAGCCTATAAAAGTAAAATCCATATGTAATCAAAATTATCCTCAAACATTCCTTAAATCATCCATCAAGTACAAGATGCATCCTTGTATAATAATTCTTATGTGCACTAAAGTTTGAGAATCCTTTGGATTATTTTGCTGGGCAGTTTTCTCTGCTGGGAATACTTAGTTCCTATCCTTGTTTTAAACAGCTTCCAGAATGACAAGGGACCACTTCGCAGAAGGAGGAAACGGCAATGATAAATAGCATTATTGATTTGTCCGCTAAGTTTTTATTGGAAGCTTTGTAAAATCAATATGATTTTAAAAGGAAAGAAAAGATGAAAAAAGAAGAGTCTTTGACTGTATAAAATGTAAAATAATACACCTTTCTTTGATTACATACCAAAAATATTCAGATGTCTCATTCTTCTATGACATGTTTCAATGCACAATTCACAGCCTCAAATAATTAAGGGAGGGAAAGAAAACTCTTCTTAAGATACCTTATCTCATCATATCTAGTATCTCCCATTTTGCTTTGTCCTGAAAATAGTTTCCATAA